ACATAGTAAAAAATGGATCCAAACCTTGCCCTACCCAAGAACTGACCCGGACCATGGGGTAGGATTGCTCCCGGAAATGCTATGATTGTGGGAGGGCTTCAATCTCACTACTCAACAAGAGAGAGAAAATAATGATTGAATAGTTTGATTTATTGCTCCACCCAGGAACTTCTTGTGTTTGAGTTCGACTATTTGAGAGGAGATGGAAACTCAAATCAATGAACTTGGGCCGAATTGATTCAATATCGATATTGTTGTGCATAATTGAGGGCCAACGAGGGGACCTTGTCGAATTTAGATTTAGACATGCAGGCCCAAAAGAATATTATATATATATATATATATACACAGAAAATTTTCATTGAGGGATCCCTCAAATAAATTATTTGAGGAACACCTTTTGTTGGTCCCACTCCGGATTGTATTTCACTAATCCAAACCGTCTATTTTGTACATAATCATTCAAAGATCATCTCTACAAAAAATTTCTTGAATCCAATATCATTTGACCACTCATTTGAATTATAAAATTTTTAGTACTTTCTTGAAGCATCGTGTTCATTAATTTTGTAAGATACAATTGGATGTCGAAACGGTTTCAATTTGTCTAATTTTTTGTAAGGATGATCTATGAATGAAGACCTTAAAAATAGATGGCTTGGATCATTTGGAAAAAATTTGTACATTACCCTAAAGGGTGTCCCTCAAATAAAATTATTTGAGGGATTCCTCAATAGAAAGGATAAAAGACTCCCAAACCTTAAAAGAGTGGGCCCACTTTGACACCCATAAAGTGGAAGTGGAAGTGCAGGGAGCAGTTGTAACCCCCAACGGACGCCACGCCAGCATCATCACCATCTACAACTGGTCCATCTCTGTTTCTACTAACTCGGCTTCTTCGGTTAAGTTGGTTTGGGGCACGTGCCACTCGTCTCCTTCACTCACTCTCATCCTAATCCAATTTACACTCTCACACTTCAATCCTAGTCTCAGCAAATGGGAATCTCACCAGTCAGCATCCACTTTCATATATAGCTTCATTTGAATTGCCGGAATTGCCCCTCCTTAAACATGAACAAATACTCCAATTGATAGATAATTAGCCGAATCTCTCACACATTAATAGGTAATTCATTTTCAAATAAAGCATGTTGCGTTCAATATACCTATTGCTTATATATGTTGACACACACATTCTTTAGTCAATGGCAAAAGGGAGATTCGAATATCAATGAACACATTCTTTGATTACCGACAAAAATACTGACTAATAAGAGAAATTCGAATATCATTAAGCAGTTTTTAGCAACAACATAAGAAATATTCAAATACAAATGAAAACAAGTTATTTAATCAACTACAAAAAAAGATATTTGAAAATGAAAAGGGAGATTCAAATTTCAGATTCTTGAATATAAATTATCAAACTAATTAAAATTAAACATATTATGATTGTCCGTGTTTATTCCTTAGTGTCATCGTACACACTTTCTTCAAATATTGTATGGGAGTCCTTTTATAATGTTTTCCTCGGATCGAATGTCATCATAAGTTTGACACGCGCTGGACAAAATTGGTTTGCCGAAGAATGAGAAGGAAATTTGACTAATCCAATCCAACATGTGAGTAAGTAGACAGAAAACGAAGGAGTTATAGAAAAGTCGGCATGGAAATGCTTGGAAGAACGGGGACACAATTGTCTTTCTGAGTAAATGATGTCACAGAGAAGAGAACGAAACCCACCAAACACAAAATCAAAAAAGATAAAAAAAAATTGTGAATTAGAAGACTCAAGGGCGAGTTATGAGTATGATTGTAGTAGGCAGACACAGATGAAAGTGGAATGAAAGAGAAAAAAAAAAAAAAAGAGTAGTTGCTACTGCTGAGGTCTGACAGGCACACACAGAGCCAAAAACAGACACAGGGACGACCGCCAAGCCACCCTCCTGAGCCTGCTCTGACCCGCCGCCTCTGCTCTCTCTTATTCACCTGTCCAGTTTTGAGCGTGGTCCATCCCCTACCCTCCCCTCCCAATATATCTAAATTCAATAGCTAAAGCTCTCATCCTTCTTCAGTTCTCAGAGACTTTTCTTTGTTTTATTTTGTTGGGTTTGGTTTTGCTTCTTGGGGGGCTCTGAATTGCAGCATATCTGAATGAAAAGGTAAAGGTTGAAGCTTGGTGTTCTGGGTTGTTGATATTATGATCAAACAAAAGCAATGGATTGGGATGTTTTTTATTTGTAGGTTTTTTGAGTTAATGAATTAACACCAAGTCTGGTGGTATCTCTCTAGCTCCCACAGATTATTGAGACCTCTCCTATCTGGGTTTTGTGCTCATCCGACACCCCGTTTTCGGTCCTCTGTTCAAATTACAGTAAAACAAAGAACAAACAAGAAAGCAGGTCAACAATCTAATCTCTTCACACCTTCTGACACCTTGTGTATAGAAGGAGCAAAAAAATCTTGTCGGATATTGTTCAATTCAGGGAGATATTGGGCCATCGGATTTTCATAATTTCTTTTCCCATTTGGTTTCATGCTTATTACATTCATTGTGATTGATGAAATGAGTGAATGGCCTCTGGTTTTTTGTGGTGGGTAGGTAGGTTAGTGGGAACGAGAAAGAGGCATGCCTATGCACAAGGATAACGACCGCCCTTTGTTTTGCAGTGAGAGTCTTTAGATTCTCAAGGCTCAGCGAGACACGTTGAGCCTCTTATCTCACAAAAACGCTCTAATTTAGCCTTCCCCTTATAATCTGCGTGTTCCATAAAGCTGCAAATCCCATCAAGCAAGAGCACAGCAGCAAAAGAAAGAAAAGTTTATAGGGAGATCATCATCAAACACCAGCTGGGGCTTGTTCAGAAGATGGATCAGCAAAATCCAGATCAGAGGTTGAAGCCAACTTTACAGACTGAGAACCAGCAGCAGCAGCAGCAAAACCAGCAACCTCAGAAGTGTCCTCGCTGTGAGTCTCTGAACACCAAGTTTTGCTATTACAACAATTACAGCCTCTCTCAGCCGCGCTACTTCTGCAAGACTTGTAGAAGGTATTGGACCCAAGGCGGGACCCTCAGGAACGTCCCTGTCGGCGGAGGCTGCCGGAAGGGGAAGCGTCCCAAGACTAACTCATCATCATCATCATCTCCCTCTCTGCAGCCACAGGCGCAGGCACAGGCACCACAACAAGACCAGCAAACAGTGAAAAACTTGGCCACAACAAGCCCAAGTTCTAATCTTGAGGCTATAGAGAGCACTAGTAATTTGGCTTCTCACCATCAGTACTATCCTGGGGTTACTGGGTATTTGTCATCTTATGCAGCAATTCAATCTCTGAATCAGTCACAGCCCTTCAACGTTGAGGGCCATGATCAACTGGGAGGAGGTGCATCCTCAAATATGAGCCTGCTGCAGGGGTTCAATGTTTCAGCTCCTTTTGGCCAATTTTATCAAGCTGGCAACACTAAGAGCGGCATGGTGGACCAAACGGCTCTGTTTCCATCTGATCAAGAGGGCTTATTGATTCAACCAACCAGGCCTTCTGCTGCTAGTGACCATGACTGGCCTCATCAGAGCTTCAACATCAACAGATCATCTGCTAATGCTTCTTCTGCAGCTTCTGAAAGCGCTTTGTGGGCCACCACCACCTCTGGTAACATGAACACCAGCACCACCACCAGCGCTGGGCCTTCTCTGAACCCAAGCCAGTGGCCTGATCTACCTGGATCATATGGCCCTCCTAATTGAGACTTTTCAAGCATGTGCATTTCTTGCAGCAGCTCCCTCAACCTCCAGAGAGCGTACAGCATATGGCAATTAATTATCTATCTGCATATGGATGGATCTCATCTCAGCCCATGTTCAGTTCTCATTTCCTGTACTGTGCTAAATTGGTTCATTTAACTTGGTGGTTTAAGTAGGTTATGTATAATCTGTGTTTTTCATGGAGCATAGATATATATATTTAGAGAGAATTTGGTGATGTGAGTTTTCATTGTAAATGAAAGGAGGAGCGTATAGCGGTCGTAATCATATATAGCCTTTTGTTTCCATGGGTTGGGTTGATCTATGATTAGGTTGTTTGTTTTGAACTTAAATTTCATCAAAAGTTAATGAGTTAAATATGCTTTAATTGTAACTTTAATTGTTGTTTCATTGCTTTAATTGTTTGCTTATTCATCTATACTATTTAGATAGTTCAAAGTGATGGCTTTCTGAGCAATCTCAAAGTATGATGCATGGATAAGGGAAGCTTAGTTGAATGTGTAGAAAAGTTGATGAACCAAGATATATGGTTAGGTTTGTTGCATGTGGTGGGTGACTGCACTGACTGTGCTACAAATGCTTTTAAATGAATCACTACTTGAGACTCAGAGTTCCAAATTGCTTTATGATTTATTGTCATCAGGGCGCTTTGGCAGGCTTTAGCCTGCCTGCCTGCTACAGGCTCTTTTTCTTGCTAGTGTGGAATAGAGATAGCAAAACAAGGTTATTTACGGCTCCAATTACGGTACGTCAAGTGAAAAGGTTTCACGTAAGTATTTCTCTATATAATATTAATCATTCTTATGAATAAATATATAATCCAAAAAACTGTTGGCTGCGAATGCAGGCATAGCTGTTGTAGATGTACAACAATATCGAATGGATGGTAGAAATTAATAGAAGAGGTAAAAAACAAAAGCCTGCATGGCTGATCCCATTTGAAACAACACTTACACGTTCTATGGGCACAGTCCAGCAGTAGTGAATCCTACTATGCAAGGACCACTGGCTCTTGCTGGCACAGTTAATTAGCACTACGTTTAATTATTTAAAGATTAATTAATGAATAAATTGCAATGGGATTCTTCTACAATATATACAGAGATTGGTGGGAGGGCGTGAAGGTGGGTATATTGTGGTTTCCCAGTAAAGCAAATCTTTGGTCTGCCATAGAGAGATCCCTGTCGCACTACAAAAAGCAGTGTGAGACCTCTTGGGATGCAATATAAGCCGTACATATTATTACATTTGGATTTTCAGTTTTCATATGGTTGGCAGCTGATGATCTTCAATTTCTTGTGTTTAATGTTGATGCATCTTATTACGTGAAAAGTAATATCTGCAATGGTTATTTTAGTTAATTGAACAATTAATTGGTCTTAATTAACCAATAGAACCATCCATAGGTGCATACATGCATGCATTATTAAGCTTGTAATTGCTATCTTATTATATAGTGTTAAGAGTGGTACCAGCAGCTAATCATGAATAATGGTGTGGTACCACTTAGTAATGAATGAATTATGTCAAAAAAAAAGCAGCACCTACAAACAAAATAAATGGATGTAATAATATGCTCTGGAAATTGATCAATGGAATATAAATAATAAATAAAAAGATAAACAAATTGGATAAATGTTCCATTGAAATTTATTGTAACGGAGATAATACTGTTTTGCAATTCTCGGCTAAAAACATAATGATACATGAAAAAGTTATCCAACTTGTCATTATATTCTTGATTAAGAATAACAAAAAATGTTATCCCCGTTGCATGATAATTTCTCTCCAATTACCCATATCGGGGAAGGAAACAAAGTTGGAGAATCCAATCCCCATCTTTGGTTTGCTTGTGCCCCAAGAGAGGTCTATAAATAATGGGAAATATTGGAGTGAAATTTCAACTCAAAATGTTTCACTTCAAACTTGAAAGGGGGTTGTTGGAGGTAAATATTGGAGCTTTGAGGACAAAAGTGTATAATGAGTCTCTACATTAGTGGGGAACCTTCCCCATCTATTTACATGCCTTTCTCTTGTTGAAGTCCTTTCAAAGCTCGAAAGCTCCCCTTGGTGGTGGTGACAAATGCATGGAGGAACAATCCAGTGTCTGGCTTTAGCACCACGTCTACATTTTCATGATTTTGATGTGTGGGGCCCTTCTCGTATTTCTTATATCTCTATAATATTGAAGCAAAATGCAGAAGTGGTGGGCCCACTTGGCCGAAGAGACAAAGACTCCTATATGGAAGAAGTGGACTTTCCATCAAATTCACATCCCATCGATGTGGGACTCAAGCCTTCTCAGTGCACCATCATTTGGTCAGCTTGCAGGTCTTTCGGTTCCTTGGACAGTTTTGTGGACTTGGGCACTTGACCAGATGATGTGTTTGAGACATTAAAGTGTGTCAATATACCCCAAATAGTATGTGAAAATAAATCATAAAAAGTTCATTTGTAACTAGGTTCTCAATCAAAACGGTTAGTGCAATGACTTTATAACTTAAGTAATTAAAAGCGAAAGTTTTTTTTGGTTAAAATTTAAATTTACTTAATTAAAAATAGTTATTTATGCATTTGAGATTATGCGTTCGAATCAATGTTGTATCCCTATTTCAAAAGATAAGAGAAATAATAGTTTTGTTGTTGTTGTTGTCGTCTTAGTGGGAGTGAAAGATCGAAGGACATCCGAGATCATGTATAAGATGGGGTTGACTAGAAAGAAAGGAAGTTGCAAATTTCTTTTGTCTTGGCAACAATGGCACTAATGGGGTTGCTTTGGAGCAAAGGCTTGACGTCATAATCAAAATTGTAAAGAGCGTCCACACCACACATGCTTCTTTTCTTGTTGTTGTCTTGTTGTTTTGGATTGAAGATAGCGTGGAGAAGGGGTATTTGAACCACTGCTCTACTGTGCTAGATATATATATTCTGCACATTTGAACGTTATTATTGTGCAGACGCCATGTATTTTGTATTACCTCTCTCTGCTTTCCTACATATTTATAATAGCATCCGCAGGATAATAAGTTACGAAAATTCAGATAAGAGAATATATATAAGTTGTGCTTGAGAAGGAGTTTGCCAAAATCAGTCATCACCAATCTAATTATTAATCTCTCCACATGCAACTGCTCATGTCTGCACCTATGTTTCCTCGCATTGGTCGACTTGTTGTCTTCTTGTTGGCTCTTTCAGTTGGCTGTCGTAAGAGGCTTGTGAAAGAACGTTTAAAGAAAACATAATGTATTTGGTAGGGGAATTAGGAATGTACTTAAATTAGATTTATAAGATTACTTCAACTTCTTGTGTTTCTCTCTCTCTCTCTCTCTCTCTCTCTCTCTCTCTCTCTCTCTCTCTCTATATATATATATATATATATATATATGATAATATTATTTAAAAACTAATGTACATATGATCTCCTACTCGATCGTTAACAAATGCTGGCCTTGTTAATGTTAATAAAGTGGGAAGAGTACTCGTTTCAATCTTGTATGATTATGATGTTTGATCGTGAAGGTTGAAAAACAATGATGTTGAAGCTGAACTATTCAAAGGTCAACACACACAGAGACACGAGATTTATATAAATGAAAACAATTAAGCTATAATGAGGCAGCAGCAGGAGAGGGCCCCTGCATTCCAAAACAATTGGATTTGTTGGGCATAGGCACCACCACTGGACATCTGGACATGAACACTCACCCACTGGGCTAGTTGGTCATTGGGGGCCCTTACCTAAGTGAACACTAGAAAACACGACATATACATACAACTCTGTCTGGCACTGCATCATTAATATCTGAATATATTTCTGTTTGGACCAGAAATGGAAATAGGGCCATTAAGGACTGTTGAAAGCTTTAATAAAGCGTTGGGTCAAATGCGATTTGAGCTTTGGAAACCTACTGAAATAAAAGCACCATGCTGAAACTTATTCTCAATGTCAACGCAAGGATCAAAGCACTCGAGTTTACCAGCTCACCCACAAAAGGAGGACAAACAACATACTCATCTTCATCAAGCAAGTTGGAAAAACACATGACACAGCTTTTCTTTCAGAAAAATGCTTCAAACTCGACCAATAATTGACCTCATTGAACTCAAATAGATTTCTCTTGTATAAAGATTCCCAATTAACAACTCCTGAGATATCTTTTAATTTATTTGCTCTGCCAATACTTGGTATGATTCCTAGTTGCTAGGCTAAGTATCTTTAAGTTCATTAGTTTATATTTAAATCCTTATGTACCGGGCTGAATAGAGAAATCTTTAGTTTCAAGTTGCATTTTCACTTATTTTAACTTTATAAATCGTTTGTTTATCATCATATATTTTACAAAACCCAAAATGGGCAGAATAACAGTATTTTTCTTATCAGAAAAGCTTGCCCGATTTGGGGTAAGCTTGCTTGATTTGGGATTTCTTGCCGATTTACATCTTATTGTAATCAATCTTTCTATATCAGCGCACAAAATAGAATATTGAAATCAAGGCATTAAAAAGAAACAATCTGAACCAACTTGGCGCACAATGTGGCTTGATTAGCAGTTAAAAAATTGAGCTTGAATCCTAACCATTTCAAACTGCAAAACAGTTAAACATCTTTCTATTGGGCTTAACTAAGCTCCAATAGTGGCACGCCTATTCATCAAGATACTCTAAGATCCCTTGCCTAGACCTAAGAGCAGTTCCATCGCAGCCCACCAACTTGGGCAAGGGGGGCCTAGGCCCAAGAAGCAATTTCTAACGATACAAAACAACCCAGGCAAGGCGTGGGCTCCGCAAGCTTTGGCAGGCTCGAAGGCAAGAGCATCCTGAGTTGTTGCTTTAGGGCTATGACGTCATTAATGACCTCGACAATGAAAAAATTTAAAAATAAAATAAAATAAAATCTAAAAAAAATCAAAATTTTCTTCTTTTTATTTTATTTTATTATTTTTATAAATAACTTGCCATATTTTTCACTTCTCACACCAAAATTCTATATCTCATGTTGCCATGGCAATGGGTGGAAAACCAACAAAAAAATTGCTAGGGCAAGCACTATTCATGTGAATGGTACCGACCCTTGCCTTCCTTTGCTTTTCATCACGGCAAATGAGTGGAAATGCTCTAAGTAAGTTCTTACCTCAGCTTCATCTAACACACAAGGGCTACACTGTAAAGATACAATGCACCTGCCCATTCTAGGGTCAACAATTTCAATCAAAACTATTGGTGGGATGAAGTCATATATATCTGAATATGTATGGCTTTTGTGTGGACACACACACACATAT